CAAGCGGGCTGTCACGTTCCTTTTACTGAGGAGTGGCTTCCGTCTGGCCACTCTACCATAAAGGCCTGATTGTTGGAGTGCTGCAGAGATTGTTGTTCCTTCTGGAAGTTTCTCCCATCTCCACAGAGGAACTCTGGAGCTCTGTCAGAGTGACCATCGGGTTCTTGGTCACCTCCCTGACCAAGGCCCTTCTCACCTGATTGCTCAGTTTGGCCGGGCGGCCAGCTCTAGGAAGAGTCTTGGTGGTTCCAAACTTCTTCCATTTAAGAATGATGGAGGCCACTGTGTTCTTGGTGACATTCAATGCTGCAGAAATTTTTTGGTAACCCTTCCCCAGATCTGTGCCTCGACACAATCCCGACTCGGAGCTCTACGGACAATTTCTTCGACCTCATGGCTTGGTTTTTGCTCTGACATGCACTGTCAACTGTGGGACCTTTTATAGACAGGTGTGTTCTCAATCATGTCCAATCAATTGAATTTACCACAGGTGGACTCCAATCAAGTTGTAGAAACATCTCAAGGATGATCAATGGAAACAGGATGCATCTGAGCTCAATTTTGAGTCTCATAGCAAAGGGTCTGAATACTTATGTAAATAAGGTATTTCTGTTTTTTATTTTGAATACATTTCCAAAAATGTCTAAAAACCTGTTTTCATTTTGTCATTATGGGCTATTGTGTGTAGATTTATTATATATATATATATTTTTTTAGAAAAAGGCTGTAAAGTAACAAAATGTGGAAAAAGTGAATGGGTCTGCATACTTTCCGAATGCGCTGTGTATATATATATATTTATCTGCAGTACCTCCGTGTACCCCACTTTGAGAACCCTTGCTATACGAAATGATGTTGTGTTGTGGGGTGGTGAAGGGGGTGGGTGGAGGGGGGTGGTGAAGGGGGTGGTGAAGGGGGTGGTGGAGGGGGTGGTGAAGGGGGTGGTGGAGGGGGTGGTGAAGGGGGTGGTGAAGGGGGTGGTGGAGGGGGGTGGTGAAGGGGGTGGTGAAGGGGGTGGGTGAAGGGGTTGGTGTAGGGGTGGGCGGGGGTTGGTGGATGGAGGGGGGGGGGGTGGAAGGGGGGTGGTGGAGGGGTGGTGGAGGGGATGGTGAAGGGGGTGGTGGAGGGGGTGGGTAAAGGGTGGTTGGGTGGGGGCGGTGGTGTAGGGGTGGTGGAGGTGGTGGTGAAGGTGGTGGTGGAGGGGGTTTGGTTGAAGGGGTGGGGTGGAAGGGTAGGTGGTGAATAGGGCGGTGGTGGAGGGGGTGGTGGAGGGATGGTGGAGGGGGGTGGTTGAAGGGGGTGGTGGAAGGGGGTGGTGGAGGGGGTGGTGGAGGGGGTGGTGAAGGGGGGTGGGAGGGGGTGGTGGAGGGTTGTGGGTGGAGGGGGGTGGTGAAGGGGGTGGTGGAGGGGGTGGTGAAGGGGGTGGTGGAGGGGGTGGTGGAGGGGGAAGGGAGTGTGGGGGGGGGGGGGGGGGGCATCATAATGACAGAAGCCAGAAACATTTAGCACGTTCCCTCCATTTGCTGCTCAATTATTGATGGGTTTATGGTGTGACCAAGATGTGACCAAGATGTGGAGAGGAGTTAGGACAGTAGCAGGGATCCCTAAACGAAAAAACAAACCAAAACAGCGACTATATGGGATACTTCCTTACATCCATTCCCTAAAAAAGGAGACGGCATTAACATTTAAATGTCAAAACATTATTTCCGCTGTAATATTTTATAATATTAGAGTTGCCACAGCAGCAAAAGCCATGAATTGTCACTTCCTCTGACAGTTCATAATTCCATTTCCAATATCTTTTCTTTTAAAAGTTTAAGGTCGCTTTTGATAGCTGTACTTGCCGTATCTGATATATGGCATTGAAATGCTTTTCCCCCCAACGAGTCGGATGACACATGACAACCAAAGTGAAATCTCCATTATTATGGCCGACCGTTTGGCACCCTGCATAATCTAACACGTCTGAATGCACTATAATTACACGTATTCTCAAAGGGTATCTGATGCAAGCCTTTATTAAGGATAATGAATACTGACTTTAACAACTGACTTCAGGTCAGAGGAAATGGCTTTTGTAACATTTTCTCTGAATGGTGTCCTAGTTTTTTCAACCTCCATGTTTCCTCACATGCCAGTATGAGTCACTGTTGCTAAAGAAATGACAGGCAATAAAAAAAAAAAAAACATGTAAAACTATGGCAGCACATAATCTAGGGTCCTGAAGATCAACATTGCTTTAACATTACAGTAGCTTACTTCTAGAAGAAATTACACATGATTGGTGGCTGTGGTTTGAGATGTGCACCTTGTGTAGGTGTGTAGGTGTGTAGGTGTGTAGGTGTGTAGGTGTGTAGGTGTGTAAACGTTCAGGCAGTCTCAAAGTCCCTCACTTCCCAATCACATAACTCCCCTGATCGCTGGCTGGTGTGTGTGTGTCTGTGTGTGTGTGTGTGTAGTGAATGTCATACAATTCCTGTATTCATAATAGACAGCTTGCAACTGAAAGTGTTTTTTTGTTGCTTGAGAAAAAGCTCCACCACCTCCACATCCCAACCAGATAAACTCTCACATAACTCCTCTGATCGCTGGCTGTGTGGTGTTAGTTGAATTCTAATTGGTGAATAAAGGGCTCCACTCTCTCAGCTACCTTGAGCTACTGTCAGAGAGGCCATTTAAAGCATGTTCCTGTACCTCCCACTCCCTTAGGGATGTGCTGTGCGTGACTGAATGTGGAGATACTCTTAGCAGTCTGGCTTTGCACAGTAGCTACAGTGAGGAGAACAAGTATTTGACACACTGCCGACTTTGCAGGTTTTCCTACTTACAAAGCATGTAGAGGTCTGTCATTTTTATCATAGGTACACTTCAACTGTGAGAGACGGAATCTAAAACAAAAATCCAGAAAATCACATTGTATGATTTCTAAGTAATTAATTTGCATTTTATTGCATGACATAAGTATTTGATCACCTACCAACCAGTAAGAATTCCGGCTCTCACAGACCTGTTAGTTTTTCTTTAAGAAGCCCTCCTGTTCTCCACTCGTTACCTGTATTAACTGCACCTGTTTGAACTCGTTACCTGTATAAAAGACACCTGTCCACACACTCAATCAAACAGACTCCAACCTCTCCACAATGGCCAAGACCAGAGAGCTGTGTAAGGACATCAGGGATTAAATTGTAGACCTGCACAAGGCTGTGATGGGCTACAGGACAATAGGCAAGCAGCTTGGTGAGAAGGCAACAACTGTTGGCGTAATTATTAGAAAATGGAAGAAGTTCAAGATGACGGTCAATCACCCTCGGTCTGGGGCTCCATGCAAGATCTCACCTTGTGGGGCATCAATGATCATGAGGAAGGTGAGGAATCAGCCCAGAACTATACGGAAGGACCTGGTCAATGACCTGAAGAGAGCTGGGACCACAGTCTCAAAGAAAACCATTAGTAACACACTACGCCGTCATGGATTAAAATCCTGCAGCGCACGCAAGGTCCCCCTGCTCAAGCCAGCGCATGTCCAGGCCCGTCTGAAGCTTGCCAATGACCATCTGGATGATCCAGAGGAGGAATGGGAGAAGGTCATGTGCTCTGATGAGACAAAAATATAGCTTTTTGGTCTAAACTCCACTTGCCGTGTTTGGAGGAAGAAGAAGGATGAGTACAACCCCAAGAACACCATCCCAACCGTGAAGCATGGAGATGGAAACATCATTCTTTGGGGATGCTTTTCTGTAAAGGGGACAGGACGACTGCACCGTATTGAGAGGAGGATGGATGGGGACATGTATCGCGAGATCTTGGCCAACAACCTCCTTCCCTCAGTAAGAGCATTGAAGATGGGTCGTGGCTGGGTCTTCCAGCATGACAATGACCCGAAACACACAGCCAGGGCAACTAAGGAGTGGCTCCGTAAGAAGCATCTCAAGGTCCTGGAGTGGCCTAGCCAGTCTCCAGACCTGAACCCAATAGAAAATCTTTGGAGGGAGCTGAAAGTCCGTATTGCCCAGCGACAGCCCCGAAACCTGAAGGATCTGGAGAAGGTCTGTATGGAGGAGTGGGCCAAAATCCCTGCTGCAGTGTGTGCAAACCTGGTCAAGACCTACAGGAAACGTATGATGTCTGTAAATGCAAACAAAGGTTTCTGTACCAAATATTAAGTTCTGCTTTTCTGATGTATCAAATACTTATGTCATGCAATAAAATGCAAATGAATTACTTTAAAATCATACAATGTGATTTTCTGGATTTTTGTTTTAGATTCCGTCTCTCACAGTGGAAGTGTACCTATGATAAAAATTACAGACCTTTGTAAGTAGGAAATCCTGCAAAATTGGCAGTGTATCAAATACTTGTTCTCCCCACTGTAAGTCCAAATAATTGACTATGTGGTGCACTGTCATTAAGACTGGGAAGTGTGTGTGTGTGTGTGTGTGTGTGTGTCAGATGTGTTCTCAATGTCATAGAATTCCAGTATTCTAAAAAGTGTGTAACTAAAGTTGGAAAGAGTCGTTTTTATTTTTATTTATTTGTATCCCTGGTTGACAGCCCTGGTTGACAGCCCTGGTTGACAGTACTGGTTGAAAGCTACACCTGCAATAACATCTGCTAAATATGTGTATGCAACCAATACAATTGGATTTTATTAGATTTTTGGTTGACAGCCCTGGTTGACAGCCCTAGTTGACAGCACTGGTTGACAGCTCTGGTTTACAGCACTGGTTGACAACACTGGTTGACAGCACCGGTTGAGCTTCAAAGACAGAGTCAATTCAAGACGTGTTGTAGCACAGCACACTATAACAGACTTTTATTGGATTGAATGCCGGCCCTCATCTGTTCAAGACAATGCACATTCACTGATCCTGTGCTAATGGATTTCTGCTCTGCACTGATCTCTACAGTCAGTGGATGAGGATGCTGGGAAGATACGTGATCATTGATCAGATGCAGTGTGATTTTAATGGTCCGCCCACCACATCTTCCTTTAAAGAACATTTAGACCATGGAGTAACTGGAAGAAGCCTGCTTTAGGTCAACTGGCTGCAGGGAAGGTCTGCTACCAAGAGGGCCCTCCACTTGAACTCTCCTGCTCAAAACGTGTGGGCTGCATTGAAGTGGAGCGCTGGAGCGTGAGTTTGGCAGACTCGACGACCCCAGGGTCAACTCCCCTTCTCTTTCCATGCTCATCAGTCAGTAACGTGGAAAAAATCAGTTATGAAACTAGGAGACAGATTAGTCTATCAGATAATGAAACTAAAACTAGCAGACAGATTAGCCTATCAGATAATGAACTAGCAGACAGATTAGTCTATCAAATAATGAAACTAAAACTAGCAGACAGATTAGCCTATCAGATAATGAAACTAGCAGACAGATTAGCCTATCAGATAATGAAACTAGCAGACAGATTAGTCTATCAGATAATGAAACTAAAACTAGCAGACAGATTAGTCTATCAGATAATGAAACTAAAACTAGCAGACAGATTAGTCTATCAGATAATGAAACTAGCAGACAGATTAGTCTATCAGATTATGAAACTAGCAGACGGATTAGTCTATCAGATAATGAAACTAGCAGACAGATTAGTCTATCAGATAATGAAACTAGCAGACAGATTAGTCTATCAGATAATGAAACTAGCAGACAGATTAGTCTATCAGATAATGAAACTAGCAGACAGATTAGTCTATCAGATAATGAAACTAGCAGACAGATTAGTCTATCAGATAATGAAACTAAAACTAGCAGACAGATTAGTCTATCAGATAATGAAACTAAAACTAGCAGACAGATTAGTCTATCATATAATGAAACTAGCAGACAGATTAGTCTATCAGATAATGAAACTAGCAGACAGATTAGTCTATCAGATAATGAAACTAAAACTAGCAGACAGATTAGTCTATCAGATAATGAAACTAAAACTAGCAGACAGATTAGTCTATCAGATAATGAAACTAGCAGACAGATTAGTCTATCAGATAATGAAACTAGCAGACATATTAGCCTATCAGATAATGAAACTAGCAGACATATTAGCCTATCAGATAATGAAACTAGCAGACATATTAGCCTATCAGATAATGAAACTAGCAGATAATGAACTAGCAGATTAGTCTATCAGATAATGAAACTAGCAGACATATTAGCCTATCAGATAATGAAACTAGCAGACATATTAGCCTATCAGATAATGAAACTAGCAGACATATTAGCCTATCAGATAATGAAACTAGCAGACATATTAGCCTATCAGATAATGAAACTAGCAGACATATTAGCCTATCAGATAATGAAACTAGCAGACATATTAGCCTATCAGATAATGAAACTAGCAGACATATTAGCCTATCAGATAATGAAACTAGCAGACATATTAGCCTATCAGATAACATTACTTATATAATTTCTGATCCTTTTCTCTTGTTTTTACTATCCTCTGGCTGGAGGACCTTGTGGAAAACCAAAAAATATATATACATTTAGTGTACAAAACATTAGGAAAACCTTCCTAATATTGAGTTGCACCCCCTTTTGCCCTCAGAACAGCTTCAATTCGTCGGGGACATGGACTCTACAAGGTGTTGAATGTGTTCCACAGGGATTCTGGCCCATGTTGACTCCAATGCTTTATTTGTATCCCTGGTTGACAGCCCTGGTTGACAGCCCTGGTTGACAGCACTGGTTGACAGCACTGGTTGAAAGCTCCACCTGCAATAACATCTGCTAAATATGTGTATGCAACCAATACAATTGGATTTTATTAGATTTTTGGTTGACAGCCCTGGTTGACAGCCCTAGTTGACAGCCCTGGTTGACAGCCCTAGTTGACAGCACTGGTTGACAGCTCTGGTTTACAGCACTGGTTGACAACACTGGTTGACAGCACCGGTTGAGCTTCAAAGACAGAGTCAATTCAAGACGTGTTGTAGCACAGCACACTATAACAGACTTTTATTGGATTGAATGCCGGCCCTCATCTGTTCAAGACAATGCACATTCACTGATCCTGTGCTAATGGATTTCTGCTCTGCACTGATCTCTACAGTCAGTGGATGAGGATGCTGGGAAGATACGTGATCATTGATCAGATGCAGTGTGATTTTAATGGTCCGCCCCACCACATCTTCCTTTAAAGAACATTTAGACCATGGAGTAACTGGAAGAAGCCTGCTTTAGGTCAACTGGCTGCAGGGAAGGTCTGCTACCAAGAGGGCCCTCCACTTGAACTCTCCTGCTCAAAACGTGTGGGCTGCATTGAAGTGGAGCGCTGGAGCGTGAGTTTGGCAGACTCGACGACCCCAGGGTCAACTCCCCTTCTCTTTCCATGCTCATCAGTAGATGTCACAGTAATGAAACTAGCGACAGTTAGTCTATCAGATATGAAATAGCAGACAGATGTCTACAGATAATGAAACTAGCCGAAGATTAGTCATCAGATAAGAAACTAGCAACAGATTGTCTTAGATAATGAACTAGCCAGCGATAGTCTTCATAATTTTAAAATGCAGACAGATTAGTTATCAGATAATGAAACTAGCAGACAGATAGCTCTTATCAGATAATGAAACTAGCAGGACAGTTGTCTATCAGATGAAGGACTAACAAACTAGCAGACAGATTAGCTCATCAGATATGAAACTAGCAGACATATTAGCTTCAGGTGAATGAACTGCAGACAGTGTCTACGATAAGAAGCTAAAACTAGCAGACTTAAGCTCATCAGATAATGAAACTAGTGGACATATAGCCAATCAGTTAATGAAACTAGCCAGACAGATTAGTCTATCAGATAATGAAACTAAGCAGACAGATTAGCCTATCAGATAATGAAACTAGCAGACAGATTAGCCTATCAGATAATGAAACTAGCAGACAGATTAGCTATCAGATAATGAAAACTAGAGACATATTAGCAATCAGATAATGAAACTAGCAGACTATTCAGCTATCAGATAATGAAACTAGCAGACAATTAGTCTATCAGATAATGAAACTAGCAGACAGATTAGCCTATCAGATAATGAAACTAGCAGACAGATTAGTCTATCAGATAATGAAACTAGCAGACAGATTAGTCTATCAGATAATGAAACTAGCAGACAGATTAGTCTATCAGATAATGAAAACTAGCAGACAGATTAGTCTATCAGATAATGAAACTAGCAGACAGATTAGTCTATCAGATAATGAAACTAGCAGACAGATTAGTCTATCAGATAATGAAACTAAAACTAGCAGACAGATTAGTCTATCAGATAATGAAATAGCAGACAATTAGCTATCAGATAATGAAACTAGCAGACAGATTAGTCTATCAGATAATGAAACTAGCAGACAGATTAGCTATCAGATAATGAAACTAGCAGACAATTAGCTATCAGATAATGAACACTAGCAGACAGATTAGTCTATCAGATAATGAAACTAAAACTAGCAGACAGATTAGCCTATCAGATAATGAAAACTAGCAGACATATTAGCTATCAGAAAATGAAACTAGACAATAGTCTATCAGATAAGATGAAACTAGCAGACATATTAGCCTATCAGATAATGAAACTAGCAGACATATTAGCCTATCAGATAATGAAACTAGCAGACATATTAGCCTATCAGATAATGAAACTAGCAGACAGATTAGTCTATCAGATAATGAAGAAAACTAGCAGACAATTAGCCTATCAGATAATGAAACTAGCAGACATATTAGCCTATCAGATAATGAAACTAGCAGACAGATTAGTCTATCAGATAATGAAACTAGCAGACATATTAGCCTATCAGATAATGAAACTAGCAGACATATTAGCCTATCAGATAATGAAACTAGCAGACATATCAGATAATGAACTAGCAGACATATTAGCCTATCAGATAATGAAACTAGCAGACATATTAGCCTATCAGATAATGAAACTAGCAGACATATTAGCCTATCAGATAATGAAACTAGCAGACATATTAGCCTATCAGATAATGAAACTAGCAGACATATTAGCCTATCAGATAACATTACTTATATAATTTCTGATCCTTTTCTCTTGTTTTTACTATCCTCTGGCTGGAGGACCTTGTGGAAAACCAAAAAATATATATACATTTAGTGTACAAAACATTAGGAAAACCTTCCTAATATTGAGTTGCACCCCCTTTTGCCCTCAGAACAGCTTCAATTCGTCGGGGACATGGACTCTACAAGGTGTTGAATGTGTTCCACAGGGATTCTGGCCCATGTTGACTCCAATGCTTTATTTGTATCCCTGGTTGACAGCCCTGGTTGACAGCCCTGGTTGACAGCACTGGTTGACAGCACTGGTTGAAAGCTACACCTGCAATAACATCTGCTAAATATGTGTATGCAACCAATACAATTGGATTTTATTAGATTTTTGGTTGACAGCCCTGGTTGACAGCCCTAGTTGACAGCCCTGGTTGACAGCCCTAGTTGACAGCACTGGTTGACAGCTCTGGTTTACAGCACTGGTTGACAACACTGGTTGACAGCACCGGTTGAGCTTCAAAGACAGAGTCAATTCAAGACGTGTTGTAGCACAGCACACTATAACAGACTTTTATTGGATTGAATGCCGGCCCTCATCTGTTCAAGACAATGCACATTCACTGATCCTGTGCTAATGGATTTCTGCTCTGCACTGATCTCTACAGTCAGTGGATGAGGATGCTGGGAAGATACGTGATCATTGATCAGATGCAGTGTGATTTTAATGGTCCGCCCACCACATCTTCCTTTAAAGAACATTTAGACCATGGAGTAACTGGAAGAAGCCTGCTTTAGGTCAACTGGCTGCAGGGAAGGTCTGCTACCAAGAGGGCCCTCCACTTGAACTCTCCTGCTCAAAACGTGTGGGCTGCATTGAAGTGGAGCGCTGGAGCGTGAGTTTGGCAGACTCGACGACCCCAGGGTCAACTCCCCCTTCTCTTTCCATGCTCATCAGTCAGTAACGTGGAAAAAATCAGTTATGAAACTAGGAGACAGATTAGTCTATCAGATAATGAAACTAAAACTAGCAGACAGATTAGCCTATCAGATAATGAAACTAGCAGACAGATTAGCCTATCAGATAATGAAACTAGCAGACAGATTAGTCTATCAGATAATGAAACTAAAACTAGCAGACAGATTAGTCTATCAGATAATGAAACTAAAACTAGCAGACAGATTAGTCTATCAGATAATGAAACTAGCAGACAGATTAGTCTATCAGATTATGAAACTAGCAGACAGATTAGTCTATCAGATAATGAAACTAGCAGACAGATTAGTCTATCAGATAATGAAACTAGCAGACAGATTAGTCTATCAGATAATGAAACTAGCAGACAGATTAGTCTATAGCAGACAGATTAGTCTATCAGATAATGAAACTAAAACTAGCAGACAGATTAGTCTATCAGATAATGAAACTAAAACTAGCAGACAGATTAGTCTATCATATAATGAAACTAGCAGACAGATTAGTCTATCAGATAATGAAACTAGCAGACAGATTAGTCTATCAGATAATGAAACTAAAACTAGCAGACAGATTAGTCTATCAGATAATGAAACTAAAACTAGCAGACAGATTAGTCTATCAGATAATGAAACTATCAGACAGATTAGTCTATCAGATAATGAAACTAGCAGACATATTAGCCTATCAGATAATGAAACTAGCAGACATATTAGCCTATCAGATAATGAAACTAGCAGACATATTAGCCTATCAGATAATGAAACTAGCAGACAGATTAGTCTATCAGATAATGAAGCTAAAACTAGCAGACAGATTAGCCTATCAGATAATGAAACTAGCAGACATATTAGCCAATCAGATAATGAAACTAGCAGACAGATTAGTCTATCAGATAATGAAACTAGCAGACATATTAGCCTATCAGATAATGAAACTAGCAGACATATTAGCCTATCAGATAATGAAACTAGCAGACATATTAGCCTATCAGATAATGAAACTAGCAGACATATTAGCCTATCAGATAATGAAACTAGCAGACATATTAGCCTATCAGATAATGAAACTAGCAGACATATTAGCCTATCAGATAATGAAACTAGCAGACATATTAGCCTATCAGATAATGAAACTAGCAGACATATTAGCCTATCAGATAACATTACTTATATAATTTCTGATCCTTTTCTCTTGTTTTTACTATCCTCTGGCTGGAGGACCTTGTGGAAAACCAAAAAATATATATACATTTAGTGTACAAAACATTAGGAAAACCTTCCTAATATTGAGTTGCACCCCCTTTTGCCCTCAGAACAGCTTCAATTCGTCGGGGACATGGACTCTACAAGGTGTTGAATGTGTTCCACAGGGATTCTGGCCCATGTTGACTCCAATGCTTTATTTGTATCCCTGGTTGACAGCCCTGGTTGACAGCCCTGGTTGACAGCACTGGTTGACAGCACTGGTTGAAAGCTACACCTGCAATAACATCTGCTAAATATGTGTATGCAACCAATACAATTGGATTTTATTAGATTTTTGGTTGACAGCCCTGGTTGACAGCCCTAGTTGACAGCCCTGGTTGACAGCCCTAGTTGACAGCACTGGTTGACAGCTCTGGTTTACAGCACTGGTTGACAACACTGGTTGACAGCACCGGTTGAGCTTCAAAGACAGAGTCAATTCAAGACGTGTTGTAGCACAGCACACTATAACAGACTTTTATTGGATTGAATGCCGGCCCTCATCTGTTCAAGACAATGCACATTCACTGATCCTGTGCTAATGGATTTCTGCTCTGCACTGATCTCTACAGTCAGTGGATGAGGATGCTGGGAAGATACGTGATCATTGATCAGATGCAGTGTGATTTTAATGGTCCGCCCACCACATCTTCCTTTAAAGAACATTTAGACCATGGAGTAACTGGAAGAAGCCTGCTTTAGGTCAACTGGCTGCAGGGAAGGTCTGCTACCAAGAGGGCCCTCCACTTGAACTCTCCTGCTCAAAACGTGTGGGCTGCATTGAAGTGGAGCGCTGGAGCGTGAGTTTGGCAGACTCGACGACCCCAGGATCAACTCCCCTTCTCTTTCCATGCTCATCAGTCAGTAACGTGGAAAAAATCAGTTATGAAACTAGCAGACAGATTAGTCTATCAGATAATGAAACTAAAACTAGCAGACAGATTAGTCTATCAGATAATGAAACTAGCAGACAGATTAGTCTATCAGATAATGAAACTAGCAGACATATTAGCCTATCAGATAATGAAACTAGCAGACATATTAGCCTATCAGATAATGAAACTAGCAGACATATTAGCCTATCAGATAATGAAACTAGCAGACATATTAGCCTATCAGATAATGAAACTAGCAGACATATTAGCCTATCAGATAATAAAACTAGCAGACATATTAGCCTATCAGATAATGAAACTAGCAGACATATTAGCCTATCAGATAATGAAACTAGCAGACATATTAGCCTATCAGATAATGAAACTAGCAGACATATTAGCCTATCAGATAATGAAACTAGCAGACATATTACATAATTTCTGATCCTTTTCTCTTGTTTTTACTATCCTCTGGCTGGAGGACCTTGTGGAAAACCAAAAAATATATATACATTTAGTGTACAAAACATTAGGAAAACCTTCCTAATATTGAGTTGCAGCCCCTTTTGCCCTCAGAACAGCTTCAATTCGTCGGGGACATGGACTCTACAAGGTGTTGAATGTGTTCCACAGGGATTCTGGCCCATGTTGACTCCAATGCTTCCCACAATTGTGTCAAGTTGGCTGGATGTCCGTTGGTTGGTGGACCATTCTTAATACACACCGGAAACAGTTGAGCGTGAAAAACCCAGCAACGTTGCAGTTCTTGACACACTCAAGCTGGTGCGCCTGGCACCTACTACCATAGGCACTTAAATATTTTGTCTTGCCCATTCACCCTCTGAATGGCACACATACACAATCCATGTCTCAATTGTCTCAAGGCTTAAAAATCCTTCTTTAAACATGTCTCCTCCCCTTCACCTACACTGACTGAAGTGGATTTAACAAGTGACATCAATAAGGGATCATAGCTTTCACCTGGATTCACCTGGTTCATAATGTTTTGTAGACTCAGTGTAGAGCTCTCTGTTCAATATCACTTACCCTTCCATTTCTTGGCCAGTTGTCTGGGACAGGTATGTTGTTTCGATGTGCCAATTCGTAGTTCAAGTTCTCTGCATTTGAGGATACTAAGTAGTTGAAACTGGTCCTCGAGGACTCCATGTCACCAGATAAGACCTTGTGTTCCTCCGCTACTCTATCATAGCCTCTCTTTATCAAGCTCAGACTCCATGTCACCAGATAAGACCTTGTGTTCCTCCGCTACTCTATCATAGCCTCTCTTTATCAAGCTCAGACTCCATGTCACCAGATAAGACCTTGTGTTCCTCCGCTACTCTATCATAGCCTCTCTTTATCAAGCTCAGATTCCATGTCACCAGATAAGACCTTGTGTTCCTCCGCTACTCTATCATAGCCTCTCTTTATCAAGCTCAGACTCCATGTCACCAGATAAGACCTTGTGTTCCTCCGCTACTCTATCATAGCCTCTCTTCATCACAGGTACATGCTCATTTTCGTTTTTGTCAACGTACCTCTTCAGTGTCATTCAGTCGATTTTCATCTCTTGCTGCTGCTCCAATGGACTAATTCCCTTCTCTCACTTCCTTGTTCTCTCTCAAGAACCTCAACGGGACCTTTGCTCGTTTTACGTTTGTATACACGGGGCACGGTGATGTCTGCTCTGTAACAATAAAAATGGACTATGTTGAGTTCATATGCATGACACATTGCAAAAAAACTATGCTATCGCATGCATAAAACGGACTAAATGTAATCATTATTTGTATGGGCTATGGTGGCCATTGGTTCAACTTACCCCAAGGCAAACATTTTGACTCTATTAGCCCACACTGCTACAAGGAGGCACTTTCATGCTAGGTTCAGGACCTCATATTGTAGCTTATAGAGACTCCAACTGATGTATCAAACAACCTTAAAACTATCTACTTTGGTTTAGATACAAGCGTCATGAAACCTAGAACACAATACATTCATTTGACTTTGGTGAAAATCTGTTTTTTTGGAAGACATTTTCTTACCACTTTCTCCGTGTGGTTTCTTCCTTCACAGACTCCATGAAATGATGACCTCTTCCGAAAATATTTGGTCACTTGATTAGTTTTGTGTATGGTTTCTTAGAAACAAGGGTTGGCTCAACTAACCCTCTCGTATATTACCGTTTGACTATTTCCTTTTGCAATACATCCTTCTATTTTACTGTGATGTCTTACAAGGGTCTTGAACTTCTCTATTTGGACCATTTCTAATGAGATTGCCCTCAAATAAATATTTTACCCAAGAGTATAAGTATATTTCCCATTGATTGATGGTGGTTTTTCAGATCTCCTAACAGTACTGTTTGTAGGTCCATCTGACAACAGACGTTATGACTTAACAACCACTCCTGGACCTGACTCCAAAAGCGAGCCACCGAAGGAATCCGTTGATTCTGTTTCCTCGTGACAGAGTCTGCATAGGGCTGACTGTTCAATGCCCCACATATTGAGCATTCTTTTTTTTTTTTGTGGTGGGAATTTTATATATTAGTTTAAATTGAAAATAATGGATTGATGTGTCGAATGTTGTTTCATTCATCAGTTCATAAACCCGATGCCAAGGTGTTGGGACATCAAAAAACTGTTCCCAACTATCTTGAATTTAATACGGTATAGTTGGAAAAATCTCTTGACCTTGAGCTCAAGTCTTATCCTGGACCAGGCTGGTCTTATCCTGGACCAGGCTGGTCTTATCCTGGACCAGGCTGGTCTTATCCTGGACCAGGCTGGTCTTATCACGCTAGATTTGGTGGAGGACTTGAGGTGTTATATAGACTGCTATCTGAAGAATCTCAGTGGTACTTCTATGTTTTCCCTCAAATAGACACTGCAACATACTTTTAGTGAAACAAACACACATTTACCAAGTTTTTTTTCCACACAGAAAATGTGTTGCCTGAAGCTACAGTTTATAGCTTTATTATAAAGTCCCACGGCAAACTGTACATAATGAAAGAATGGAATAAAAGACAGCTATAACTGACCGTCACTTCCTTTAACAGCTCTATGACTCGTCAAGGTCCATTTCACAGAGCCATTGATGATCCAAGTCATCATTTTAACAACCGCTCCATGTCCAAAACAACAAGGGAAAAGGGGAGGGGGTGGAGATTTCAACTGCCAAACTCAAAGAAACACGTCAAACCATCAACCCAAGGTCTTTCTTTGTTTTGTAATTTTTTCGTTGTTGGGGGGGGGGGGAGTATGCTGCCACTCAAACTAAACATAACAGTAAGAAATACATGAAGAGTTTAAGTGGTCCTCTGTAGCTCAGCTGGTAGAGCACGGCGCTTGTAACGCCAAGGTAGTGGGTTCGATCCCTGGGACCACCCATAAATAAAAATGTAAGTCGCTTTGGATAAAAGCGTCTGCTAAATGGCATATTATTATTATAAGTAATAATCCATTCAAAATCAACAACAAAATAAGTGGGCCTCCAGCCCGACCTCCCCTAACCGCACCCAGCTAACATGTCTCCACCCCCAACCTCCCAACCCTTTCCCCCAACCCCACCCAGCCAACATGTCTCCACCCCCAACATCCCTTCCCATTCCCCCAACCCCACCCAGCCAACATGTCTCCACCCCCAACATCCCATCCCATTCCCCCAACCCCACCCAGCCAACATGTCTCCACCCCCGACCTCCCATCCCATCCCATTCCCCCAACCCCACCCAGCCAACATGTCTCCACCCCCGACCTCCCATCCCATTCCCCCAACCCCACCCAGCCAACATGTCTCCACCCCCAACCTCCCATCCCATTCCCCCAACCCCACCCAGCCAACATGTCTCCATCAAAGCAGTTTGGCCAGGCGGCCAGCTCTAGGAAGAGTCTTGGTGGTTCCAAACTTCTTCCATTTAAGAATGATGGAGGCCACTGCGGTCTTAGGGACCTTCAATGCTGCAGAAATTTTTTGGGTCACTTCCCCAGATCTGTGACTCAACACAATCCTGTTTCGGAGCTCTACAGACAAATCCTTCAACCTCATGGCTTGGTGTTTGCTCTGACATGCACTGTCAACGGTGGGACCTTATATAGACAAGTGTGTGCCTTTCCAAATCATGTCCAATCAATTGAATTGACCACAGGTGGACTCCAATCAAGTTGTAGAAACATCTCAAGGATGATCAATGGAAACAGGATGCACCTGAGCTCAATTTTGAGTCTCATAGCAAAGGGTCTGAACACTTATGTAAATAAGGTATTTCTGTTTTTTATTTTTAATAAATGTGCAAACATTTCTAAAAACCTGTTTTTGCTTTGTCATTATGGGGTATTATGTGTAGATTGCTGAGGAATTGTTTTTATTTAATCCATTTTAGAATAAGGCTGTAACGTAACAAAATGTTATAACTTAATGATGAAGCTGAATTTATCTATGATCTTCAATGCGTTTGGGAGTGATTGAGATGCATTGTCTAGATATAGTAAAAATATCGTCAGCATGTAATGAGATTAAATTATCAGTAGATTTGAGGGAAATTGGTGTTATTTCCTTTGATTGACGAATTGCCTGGGCCAGGTGTTCCATGGATAATAAGAACAGCAAAGGCGAAATTGGATCACCTTGTCTGCTGCTTCTAGTGATTCTGAACGGAGCAGAGCAGATGTTGCCTGTTATAACTATGGCTGAGGGATTGGCACATATAATTGTAATCATATTAATGAAATTGGAGCCAATTCCCATATGTTCCAAGACAGACCAGAGATATGATCATTCTAGTCTATCAAAAGCCTTTTTCTGTGTGGAGAGATAATACAGCCCAAGGAGCCGTTGTTTCTGCTGAAGCATCTAAGATATGTAATAGTCGACAGACGTTATCCGAGGATAAGCATTTTTTTTGGGGTAGGTAAGTCTCGAGATGACAACATTTTGGAAACCAGTTTAATATCTGTGTTTATCAAAGATAGGGGGCGATAGTGAGAACACTGGGTGGCATTCCTTTCCTTTTCTTAATAAAAGCTTATTAATTAATTAATTAAATAATTATTTATGTATTCACATCTCTCCCGAATGAAACTTGTGTTAACGGCCGTGTTAATCATTTCGGGCAATAGTGCACCTAATTGATTCCAACATTTTAAATAAACCTCAGGAGGAATACCGTCCCATCCAGGTGATTTGCCTTTATTCATGTTATCCCAATGCCTTTTTTTTAGTTAATTGAGAGAGATTTAGACTCCCAGTGAGGCAGCTTCCTCTGTTGAGAGAAGAGGAGTTCTTAGTCTGGCTTGGTGTGGATTTACAATCAGAGGTGTACAGTTCTTTATAGAAGCGGGAGAATCTTTGATTGATTAATTTGCGTTCTGATAGTAATTCCCCTGTTTCAACTTCTGAGTGATTTCTCCACACATCTTCTGTTGAAAATGAGGGAGCGTA